GGAAAAACACCCTCCAGTCGGACAGTAAGAGGCGCCAGTGGTTCTACGATCCCGTCATTCAGAGCATTAAGAGCAAGTCCTCCCGCTTGTGCTTGGACGCGCCCGAGCACAAGCACGGTGGATCTGTGGTCTTGGCCAATTGCGATCCCAACAACGTCAACCAGAAGTGGGTCTTGAACGACTTCACGGGCCAGATCCATCATGCAACGCACTTTGGGTTTTCCCTCGGCGCCCCCGACGACGTTGACGGACTCGTGCGCTTGTTGTGGAGTGACAAAAACAACGTCAACCAACACTGGAACATCAAGCCCGTCAAGGCCAACGCGTAGGCAGGCAGCTTGGAGGCACGCACGCACATGCATGATGGAATCGTTGGAGCATCAAGGCCGTCAACGCCAAGCGTAGGGCAGCTTTGAGGCATAGTAGTATGCATGAATATACCAGTATCTTTCATTCGAAGAGTCTTGCTTTGTTGGGATTGGATCACGATCCCTGGAGCAACCGTAGTAGTTGGAAGAGGTTGGTTATTCAAGATGCTACCAGTGCTTTTTTGCAGGCAATACTAGTATTAATAATACTTACTAGTATTAATACTTTGTCACGGGTTAAGTGACTCTTGAATACTAGTAGGATAGGCGAGGCGAAGGCAAGCAAAGAAGACCAAATCTAGGTGAGTTCGAGGGAAAGCCTTCGTGACAACCAAGTTTTACATCACACAGAGAACATGTCGCAGTGAAGTGAAACTCACGTAAAATATTTTGGCTCTTTGGAAGTCCCCAAGAGTTTGAGTTTGACACAACCCATGCCATTACTTCTTCCAACTTGGTCGAATAAGCACACTTGGTTAATTGAGTTTGGATTATTACTTCGAAGTATTTGTTTAAGACATTCCCCGGCGAGGGCCCATACTAGAACCACATGTTCTAGTATCGGCCGTCGCGGAGGAATGTCTTAACAGTCTGTCAATCAAATGATAATCCAAACTCAATCAACTAGAACCACATGCTGTGGAACCGCTTCGCCAATTGTAACGCGCCTGCTCCACCAGGGGCGGTGTGTAATCTTCTGTTTTTACGCCTTATGACCTGAACGTTTTGAAGCAACGTCTGCAGCGAGCGATTCGCTTCGATACGAAGATCTTGGACGCGGAGTATCGCGTTGGTCGTATGTTGGACGAGCTGATGCGATCGTTGGAACAAGACCATCAGGAGTGGGTACTCCATTAAGAAGGCAACATGGTCGTCGAAGTCATGACGAAATCGATCAAGCCGAGGTCGCTGAAGACAGCGGTTCAAAAGCAGCTGCAGTTGCAGCGGAAGAAGGCGTTGAAGACTGACTTCTTTCGTTACGTCAACTAGCTGCGAATATTTGCAGCTGGTCACAAGCTGTACGTGGGGCTCGACGACGAGTCTAAACCTTCCCCGGCTGCGAAGCCGGTAGAAGCTCCACGAGGCGGCAAGCCTTATATGCCAAGACGTGACAGCGGCCGGGAGGACGCCGCCAAGAACAATGGCAGAGTTGGCGGAAAGGCCGAAACGATCGTGCTTAAGAATGCCGAGCCCTCTGCCAAGAAGGGCTGCTTGAAGTGCGGTGACTTGAGTCACCGTGTGGCGCGGTAACTCAAGTCGCTTGTGTTGCGTGGTCTGAAGGCCTGGGTCGACGACGCGTCGACTGTAAACCGAACTCATCGTGAGTCTCCCAGTCATGGAGTTAATGGACTTCAGCGTTGAAGACCTCCTTGTTGGAGCAAGGAAGAAGAAGGAAAAATGGGACGTTTCGTCCGTGCCGACGAATGAACTGTCCGGATCAAACCCGGCTCGACGTCGGTGAAGTGTGGGATGCGGCAGTACCCGCCGCTGCATGTGGAGTATATGCGCAGCCATGTGGCTGCCCTGGAAGCGAATGGTATGGTATACCAAAACTACCGGGCTACGTGGGCCGCAGCCCCAACGATCGTGTCGAAGAAGGAAGTCGGCGACTTGCGCATGACGATCGACAGCAGGCCGATCAACGACTGCACGGAGCCGATGCCTTGGCCGATGCCAAATCTAGATAGCGCGATGTTTTGTCTAGTGGGGACGAACATGTACCTCACGTTGGACGTGACCAAGGGGTACTGGCAGTTGCCGCTACATGCGGACAGCCAGATGTACTTCTCTTTCATATCCTTCGGCGTGTGTAGCCCGACCCGCGTGCTTATGAGATAGACGGACGATATCGCGTACTGCCAGTCGGTTGTCCACCAAATGTTTGGTGAACTGCTGTTCCGAGGCCTGTTGGCCTGGCTAGATGACTTGCTGGGGTCCAGCAAGACGACGGACGAGCTGCTCGTCTTGGTGGACCAAGTCCTGGCCATCTATGCCCAGTTCGGACTCAAGTTGAGCCCGAAGAAGTGTCATTTATTCCTGCGTGAGGCAGAGTTGTGTGTGGCATGGTGATTTCGGCTGATGGAATTACCCATTCCCCAAGCCGAATTCAAGTACTCGTGGGCGTGTCGCCGCCACCAACAGCGGTTTGTGTGTACAGCGGCTGATGGAATTACCTATTCCCCAAGCCGAATTCAAGGACTTGTGGATTTGTCGCCGCCGACGACCGCGGCAGTTTGTGTGTGCCACCAACTGGATGCGTTCGAGCATCCCCGGCTACAATCCGCTGGTGGATCCGTTGCGACGTCTGCTCGACGTGGCCACCAAGGCAGCCGGAAGCTGCAAGAAATCGGCTTTAGTGCGTGTTGCACTCCCTGCCGTGGGATGGTCGTCCGACCATCTCAAGTGTTTCAACGACGTGAAACACGCGTTGGCGCATGTGGTGCCCCTGTCGCACCCGCGAGAAGACATGACGCCTGGTCGTGCGCCCGGGTGGTTTCCGTCTGTTTACCGATCACCGCAACCTGGTGTATATCTTCAACCCAAGTGGCTCGAACGCCAATATGGCCAAGTACCATTTCGACTGGTTGTCGATGCCCATGGCCAAGTCTGGCCAAAAACAAGTGCTTGTCGTGAAGGACGACATGAGTGGCTTTGTGCAGCTGTTCGCGGCAGAGTCCGCTGACGCCGCCGCGACCGCTCAGTGCCTGATAACGTGGTTTACCACGTCCGGCTGCGTTGACACATGGGTGTCAGATGGCGGTTCTCACTTCAAGAACGAAGTGATCGAGAAGGTGTGGAAGTTGGTGGGTGCCCACCATCATATCACGACAATCTACAGTCCTTGGGCGAACGGGACTGTAGAAGTAGTCAACCGACTAGTGCTGCGCGCCGTGAAGGCGCTGCTCAGCGAAATGAAGCTGAACGCGGACGAAAGGCCGCATGTGTTGCCCCTCGTTCAAGGCGCCCTTAACCATCAGCTGGCGGGCCGGCTGGGAGGAATTGCGCCGGTGACAGCGTTTAGCGGCCTGCCAGCCAAGACCCCGCTGGCAGGACCGACGTCCAAGGAAGTTTACGTCGCGGACTGGCTTGGCGCCGCCCGTCAGAAACATGTAACGGACCTCCAGTTGGCGCTAGAAGAAATGCACCGCAACCGAAAGTCCCAAGTCAAGTTTGCGGGTTTTCAGTCGGCGATATTGTGCTCATCGGATCGGTCGTCAACCGCGCGACAAAATTGGCCCTGCATTGGCGCGGACCCTGCCAAGTGACCAGAGTTATCACAGACCATGTGATGGAGACTCAGCAGCTGGTGCCACCGTATGAAGTCACGGTCCATCATGCATGCCGATTGAAGATGTACCACGAAGGTGGTAGAGAGGTCACCGAAGACCTCGAGGCGCAGATCGCGTTTGGCGATGGCGGATTTCATGTGGAGCGCCTGGACGAAGCGCGCTGTGTGGATGGCCAACACCAAGTTTTGGTGATGTGGCTTGGACTTGACGATGAAGAATCGTCCTGGGAACCTGCGGCGAATTTGCTGGACGACACTCCAGTCGTATTTCGCAAGTGGGCGGCGGTGAACAAGGAAGACCCTGCCGTGGCCGCCCTCATCAAGACACTGGACTTTCCGTAGGAGGGGGAGTGTTGCGCAAGGTGCAGAGCAATTGGGTCGCCCGTCGGTTTGACCCATTGGTAACACACACTGTGGCGCGTTAAAGGTTCCGATACCTTAGTGGAGGTACTGAGTGGTAGTCAGTAGGCGCCTCGTGGCGTATTTAACCTCACTAATGTCAGTGTGTATATTTGCTGCCATGACGAAGGTCCCGTGGCCAAAAGCCAAGAAGAAGCGGGAGACAAAACTGTGTGGTACTCCGTTGCGCATCGCCAGCTTCTGTTCCGACGTTTATAGGTTTGATTGGCAATTCGAATGCGTTCTGAGGAGCATGTGTTTTCGCGATTTGTATGCGTTTTGAATCGAGTAAATCCTAAATTGAGCCTGAATGTGGGAGTCCTGGTATTGCAAGATAACGTGCTTCTGCTCGCACGTGTACCTCGAGTATTTGTACTCTTTGGGCTTGCGCCGCGTTGGTCGAGGCATGTCGTCAAATTTTCTGTGATTGGGTGTGGTGTTTCAGATTTCAAAACCCTTCGTTCAAATTGTCATTTTCAAATATCGCGCCACTACGTGGATACAATATATAAAACGGTATGCTTATCTGGAGGGATCACCAATGGAGCAAATCAAAATTTTAGAGGTTGCCAAACGGTGTACTACACTCAACATTGAGTCGTAAAGTACGGTAATTTTAGTAGCTACAGTTACGTACTCCCACTCCTGAAATCACAAAACTTAGAAAGAAATAGCCAATCACATGCTCTGAATTCATTTACAATAGCCAATCACATTGAAATGTGTGTTTAATAACCAATCACATTGCTCATAGTCACATATGTTGAAATTCTCATAACGCACTGCCTGCCGAATTGGATCTTACTGAGTAACATACTCTATATTCAATTCAGCAAATCTCATGTGTCCTTCAGCAAAACCTACTAGTATGTGCGATTCATCAATCCTTATGTGGCTCTGAGCAATTCCTATGTGGTCCTCAGCAATTCTTATGTAATATTTTATCCTCCTTCGCCATTTGTAACGCGCCCACGCGCCTGCTCGAGTGTGTGATCTTCGGTTTTTACTTCGCTCAACACTGCATACCTCGTGCTTCGACTGATCTTCGAAGTTCGGTCCTCGTCGTCGTATTCATGCGGATTTCGTGCTAGGTTTTGAATATTTTCCGAAACGGTTTCGTATGAGTCAGTGGCAGTTACGGATACGTGTAGGGGTTAGGTCACAGGTTACTGTATGAAGTACTACTGGCAGTGAGTATTTTCTTAGCACGCAGGTCTTATGCCGTGATATGAATTATCTACACCTACACTAGCTAATCATCTGGCAGCCAGTGATCCACTAGCCTTAGCTGGGAACTGTAATGTGCAATTCTGGGTGCAACCTTTCAACAGTGTATTTTCGTTCAATGGATCTAGATTGGACGTTGCGTTTGGCAGAAACCACAAACGGATCCACCATCTTCAGCTAACGTTACCAGTATACGTATGGTTACTACTCCAGTATCACTTTTCTTGGCTCGTTTGGTTCGTTGGAGTGCATGTGTAGCGCTTGCAACGGTCCACATACGGAAGGAATGTATCCATGCCTTCCTAGAGTATTTGAAAAACGGAGAGTTAAGCACTACGATCACGAGAAGCCAAATCCGTCGCAGTCGCCCTTGTCAAACCCACACACAGGTGTAAAGCACGCCAAGTCGCAGAAGTAGTCACCCACCATAAACGCAAAGCAGTCTGGGCCACACATGTGTTTGCACGTAGTGTCCTGACTGACATTGCAGTACGGTGTGTCATCCAGAATGACACTTCGCCGATGCACAAGTTTGAGTTCGGCAGCGTCCAAGGTGGTCGTATCTTCGATGGGATTGCCACTCAAATCGATATTCACTCCACGTTTGGCAGCAGTCCATGGCACAGACTTTAGCCCATTCCCAGCCAAGCCAGCAATCGTGAGAGGTGACGGCCACGCGGACTCTGGAAACATCGACGTGATGTTGTTGCCCCGGAGGTTGAGTTCGGTGAGGTGTGGCATACTCAGTATTCCATTGGGGAAAGTCGTGAGACTTACATTCAACAGCTGCAGCCGCTGCACAAAACTCCATGCGTTGAAAGCGATGTCGGGAATGGTTTTCAATGGCGCTGCGTCGATGAGTATAGTCACCAGCTCGGGAGGAATATCGTAAAGCAGTGCATGAGGAATCGTTTCCAACCGACTGTACTGTACCAAGATGTTGTTCAATGATGCCGGTAGTGGGCCAGTCCAGGACGACATATTGGAAAATGTGACCTGGATCTTGGTGATCTGTTGAAATGGCACCATCGAAGTGGCGTTGAGGCCATTTTCCAAATCGCATCTCGAGAATTGAACGTACACCAACCTCGTACCAATGATTCTCGGATCCAAGAGGGGGGTGGGGTCATCAATGCCAAGGGTGTGGCAGTTGATGTTGGCGTAGGCGCAGTGACACCCGAGGTCCATTAGCGGCTGCATGTTGGACACACAATACGACGGACATGGCTCTCGATACAACAAGCACCGTCCCAGCAAGATAGCACACACGACCCCCAATCCACTGCTCACAGCCAAGTTCAACCGTCGCATGACACGATTCTGTTGGCTTCGCTGTAAAACTGACGATTGATCCTTGTTGGAGTCTGCCGAGTGGGAAGTGTTTGCGAGCCGGCAGATGGTGAAGTATGTCGACAGGTGCATGACATGCTTGACGAAAAAGTCCACAGGGCTCGTGATTCCAAAGAGTCTGGCAAACAGCAGCGTCTCGGTGGTCCAACGATTGTCGCGGACCAAGTTTGGGTTGATCAAGATGAGTTCCAACCCTTGTATCGCCACGGAAAACATGGGATGACCACACGACAGCGTGAAACTGAACAACGCGTCGACATAGCACACCAGCGTGTATTTGGTTTGGATGTTGTTGATGAAGATGAGGCAGGGCGACAAGACGGAGTACAAGAGCACAATCACAGCGTACGACACTACCTTGGTTGGGTCGACCATCGTGCTCAGCATTTCGTACACTTGTCTACCTTGGCAAAGGATCACGATGAAGTTGAACACGATAAACATGTGGTCAAACCAGTCGGTAGCGGCGCGCTTGGAGAGCCGACGCACAATGATTCTGGATTGCGTTTTGGAACTGAGTCTGCGCACTGTCACAGCTGGAGGCGGGGGCTGCGGAGGCTTCGACAGTGAGGTGGCAGCTGACTTTCGATGACACAATTTGGGGCCCACGAGCGCACCAACGTGCATGAGCGAAATCATGGTGTACCCCGCAGCAGTGACTTTAGGCTGGTACAACTTTGCAGTGACGACACTAGGTCCGGTTGAAAACAGCATGAGGAGCACCCACACGACGAGGTACACCGTGGTAGCGACGTGCAACGAGCTAACGATGACGCGCAATGCTAAGTTTCGCCTGTCGTGGGTAACCTTTGGAACCACGACTGCAGCCGCTTCAGACACCACTCTACAGTTTGGCATCGTTGAGCGCAGTTGTTCGAGTTGTATTTTGAGACCTCCAGGCAGTTAAGTATACATGTCAACGCCAAGTCGTTTCAACGAACGATTCACGTAGTCGGTTTCAAATGAAACCGATCCGACCATGCAGGTCGCATTGTGGTCGCTGTGGTTGTCGTAGGCGCTGGCGTCGACCCGCTTGACATGTAACTTATACACCACGAACTTTACAGTGCACATAACCAGAGGTTGGGAAAATACTACTAGTATTTATTACTTATTCCTGTCGAAAATGAATAATGAAACTTATTTTTTTCAACCCACGAAGAGAATTACTTATTCATTCTATACCTGCGGT